TAACATTTCATTTCCAGCTGCCTTTTTTTTTTTTTTTTTTTTTTTTTTGTGGGACCCTTGCCCGGTGGCCAGGGAACGTACTGGCACTGCAGAGGCTGCGGGCAGCCTCGCAGCCCAGCGCTCAACCGCTGCGCCACCAGGGGAGGCCCCCTCCAGCTGCCTTTTTATCGTGAGCTGAACAAAGAGAGTTCAGCAGTAAGCAGTCCTTCACTACTGCCAGGAGATAGTGATGTCCAGTGCCCTCCTGGACAACTGGTCTCAGGCTTGTCCCACTGTGGTGAGGCTGGTCTTCAGACAGCGCTGGCTCCCTGCACGTCTCCAGACGTGTCCTTGGCTGGAAAATTAACTCAGAGCAGACAGGCCAAAAACAATATGTGTGTGCAGTTTTCCTACCATGCCAGCTTAGTGTCTCACTTGATGTTCTCCCCCCTCCTAGCCCTTATCACAGGCACATTTACTGAAATACACTGCTGAAGGAAGCAGCGGCAAGACAGGAGAGGTCTGCTGTGCCATATGTGGCACAGAACTCAGGCCGTTATGGTGATAGGGTTGAGACTTAACCCATAGGCCACCAGGGTGGCCCTATTTTCACATTTAAGAGTATTCATGCCCATATAATTTCCTCATAAAAAACTGAATATTTTTAAAAAACTGAATATTTTAAATGTATGTATGCTTTTGAATGTATGAATGAATGAAGATTATCTCTAGCCTCTGTAAATTTAATTAATGCTCTTTCTGTGTTTCATTTCCATTATATATTAAACTCCATACTTAATAGATACCCTCTTTTCTTCCTATCTGGGTGTTATTTTGCCATATTTAATAGAAATACTTTCCTCGACAAAATTTTGAATTACTTTTCCATTTGTTGGGAAAGAACTAAAATTATAACTGAATTTTAGTATATTAAAATGCAGCTTTTCCCCTTTTGTTTTCCTCTTTCTGTATAACTTGGTGTCCAAAAAGTCAGTGAGGGCCTACCCTGTGGCGAAGCAGTTGAGCGCTGGGCTGCGAAGCCACCTGCAGCCTCTGCAGCGCCTGTTCAATCCTGGCCACCGGGTGAGGGTCCCACATGGGTGGAAGACCTCTTCTGCCGCCCGCTGCTCCCCTCAGCAGTGTATTTCATCAGTCTGCCTGTTCTATTCTCTGCTCTGGCTCTGGTGAATTCTCTCACCCTCCTGCACTTCTGACTGTACCCAGTGCTTGTATAAATAAATAAATAAATCTTGAAAAAAAAAGTCTAAAACATATTAACTTTAAAAAAACAAAAGAAAAAACAAAAAGTCAGTGAAATTTTAGACTACTTTTAATAAAACTCTGTAGACATAGTGCTCATGTTATAAAGAGTCTTAGGCCAGTTAAGATAAAATAAAATCATAACTAAGAAATAAATTAAACTTTAAATATCTTTTATGTTATATGAATATATATAATATTCCATGAAAAAATTTAAAAAGTCATAGATTCTCTGCTTCTTCTTTCTCTCCCTGGCTTTGCTACCCCCTTCCCCTGAATAGGAAAAACCAGGGGCACCAGGGTTGTCAGGAAACAAGACTACTACTCTCCTATCCTGATACAGTTTGCAACCTAGTATTGAATAAGAAAAAAGAAAATAATGAATTGCCTTTTCCTCTCCCTCGCTTTTGTTTGTATTTTTCTTGTAAGTGGAGTTTCCTTTGATGCCAACACACCTCTATTGCCTTTCTGCCCCCTCATTTTTCTGTCAAAAGAATATTATATAAGATCATATATCTATGAGCTCATTCCTATGAAAACACACAAACACAAAATATATGTATTATTTCTCTCTCTCTGTATGTTGTCATGAAAACATTTCAGTGTTTGCAGACTGCTCACTAATTTTGTTTTTTGTTCCCTCCACAGATTCTGAGTTGGTTTGTACAGATTTCTCTAGGACTAAAACATATTCATGACAGGAAGATCTTACACAGGGATATAAAAGCACAGGTAACAATTCAGAGAGAAGATCAAGACAGAACTGTTCTTTTGCTTTCTTTAACTGTCTCCAACAATACAGTATTTTCTCCATTTATAGAACATATTTCTTAGCAAGAATGGAATGGTTGCAAAGCTTGGGGACTTTGGTATAGCAAGAGTCCTAAACAAGTAAGTACTTTTAAATGTCATTTTTCTTTCTATAAATGACTGTCAAAAAATGTATTTTTGGGTATTGTGAATTAAGAAAATATTAAAAGCTTGGTCTCCAAATAATTTTAGATAACTTTGTATAAATGCATCAAATTATTCAGATGGTACTTTGAGACTCAAATTCCCAAGCTAAATCTTAGCATGGTGAATGATGGTGATAAGATCGTGAGGTGTGAATGTAATATGCATGAACAAGTGAGAATTTAGTGAAGTGGGTAAACTCACTCTTGAATATATTGGCACCAGCTGTTTTAGAGGACAATTTGGTGGTAATAACTATCAAGAGATTTTATAATTTGAAATTTGGAATAATTTAAATGTCTAGTGATTTAGGAAATGGTTAAATTTAATAAATTTGGCACAGATATGTACCCGAATATTGTATAGATAGCCACTAATAGCTACGATTTTGAGAACTTCTTGATAATATGAGAAAATATGTTATATTAAATTGAAAAAAATGAAAAAATAATAAATTAAAAAAACGGAATTCTGAAAGCAAACTGTACACAAATGAATAATGATGTAACATATATATACATATATATGTATAAATAAAAAAGTAAGATTAGAATAGGCACCAATAAAGAACAAGTAACATACAACTTAAAAAAAGGAATTCTGAATTTCAAAGGCACTATGATCTTACCTATGTGAAAAGTAAGCTTGGAAAAAAGATAAATATATTAGAATTTTAAGCAGTAGTTTTTCAGGTAGTAAGACGATGGGTAATTTTCCTTTATTCACTTTCATATTTTCCTAATTTTAAATCTTGAGATCATATTACTTTGGTAAGTGGAAAGAGGGAACTCTTTTTAAATATGAAAGTTTTATAATGTATCAGTTGTACCTCTGTGGAGTCTTTAAATCATAAGAAAAAAGTTTTTATGTGTAGATTTTGAGATGAGTTGTAAGTTTGGAAAACAGTTTTATTGCTTTATTATTAATATACAGTATGTTTTACTTTATTTTTGTATATGCTTGCCTCAAATTATGTTAGCTATATTTAATACCTAGCATGGCCGTGTTTTAAGCCTTTACTTACTCCAATAATTAACCATGTCATTTAATTATTTAATATCATTCCCTAGTTCTATGGAACTTGCTAGAACTTGTGTCGGCACACCTTACTACCTGTCCCCAGAGATCTGTCAAAATAAACCCTACAACAATAAAACGTGAGTTACTATAAGTTTGAAATTCTCAGTAAAATCTGAAGAATTTTCTTCTTCTTATGGCACTCTCATAATTCCATTTTCTTCATGTGTGACATAGGCATCCCAATGACTGTCTCTGACCACTTTATTGTTCCCTGAAGTTTTGAACTTATTTAGAAGAAAGACATTTCTCCTCATTTAAAGATATGTCATTGAAAGAATACACTAAATATTGCAGTGCTATGATGTCCATCTTATGTATGACTTTCCTATCTGTAAGCACTGTTTCGTCCTTTGCAGAAAAATGTTATGGGTGAGTGAGGTAGGAGGCAGTCTGGTCTGGTGACTGAGCACTAGATTAGGAGCTAGGAGCTTGTTAATTTCATTAAACAAGAAGCCATTAGGCTGAGTAAGACTAATATGGAGGTGGCCCAAACCAAAATCCAAGCCTGCAAATGCCTCGAAGATTAAGAAATAAAAAACATTTAAGGACAACCAATCGCAAACTGCCAACTGGGCTTTGAACTTAAGCTGATCAGATAATTTCCTATCTTGCTTCTGCACCTCCTCTGTTCGTTTTCCTATGCTTCTGGTGACAGAGAACATTTAACCGTTTCTGGTTTGACATCACGATTCAAATCTATTTTTGCTCATATAAACTTTAAACATTTTTAAATATGCTTCAGTTTATCTTTCAACAAACCCTACTCTTGGCTCAGTTATCACTTGGACCAGGCCTGATGACCTCTGTGGGCCCAGCCCCTGCATATGTAACAATGAGAGTGTTGGCCAGATAATCATTAAGGCATCATGTTGCTTTAAAACCAACTAATTTTTGTGTATGTGACGCCAGATTCTGGTTCTCAGAGTAATAGTAATATACACAGTGATAGGAAGTGAAAATGAGGTAGGTTTTTTTTTTTTTTTGCTTTCACTGTTTTTTTTTTAATAAGTAATTTTTTTAATTTTTTACATCATTGTTCATTTTTAAACAGTATTTGCTTCCCCCCACCCCCTCAGGTGTGGTCCCATAGAGTTTCTTTACCAGTGCACCCGTGCACCATCACCTCAGTCCCCTGTGCTCCTCCCTCCCTCCCGCTGATTCCTCCCCTCCTCCTCCCTGCAGGATGTCTCTGATTTATAATTGTCTGTTTGCTTTGCTGATGTTTTTGTACTGTTACTATTTTTTTACACTGATTTCTTATTTGTATTCCTGCTATAAGTGAAACCATCCAATATTTTTCTTTTTCCTTCTGGCTTATTTTTTACTGAGCATAATTTCTTCTAGCTCCATCCACTTTGCTGTGAATGGCATGAGTTTATCTTTTTTGATTGCTGAATAATATTGCATTGTGTATATATGCCACATCTTCTTGATCCAGTCATCTATTTTTGGGCATTTGGATTGTTTCCAGGTTTTACCTATTGTAAATAGTGCTGCAGTAAACGTAGGTGTACAGGTGTTCTTTTGAAACAATGTTTTTGTGTCCTTTGGGTAGATCCCTAGCAGTGGAATTGCCGGGTCATATGGTAGCTCCATTTTTAGTAGACTGAGGAACCTCCAGACAGCTTTCCAAAGTGGTTGGACCAGTTTGCACTCCCACCAGCAATGTAGGAGAGTTCCTTTTTTACCACATCCTCACCAACACTTGTTGTTGCTAGTTTTTTTGATATGTGCCATTCTTTTTTAAATTTTATTTATTTTATTTTATATATTTTTTACATTACTTTTCATTTTTGCACTATGTATGCATAGTTCAAAATATGCATTTTCATCTTGGTTATAGTCCCCATACAATTCCCACCCACCTTGTTTTGATCCTACTCCTTCTCCCCTTCCCAAACCGCGCCCCCCCCCCCCCCCCCCCCGCAGTATGTCTCTGGTTTACAGTTGCTTGTTCATTTTGATTTTTACTTTATTATAATTAGTATTTTTTCCTGGTCCCTTATTTAGATTTCCTAAATTCCTGCTATGAGTGATTCCATCCAATATCTTTCTGTCTCCTTCTGGCCTACTTTGCTGAGCACGATCCCCTCCAGCTACATCCATGCTGCTGCAAACTGCATGAGTTTATCCTCTTTGATAGCCGAGGAACACCCCATTGTGTATATGCCATTCTTACTGGTGTAAGGCGGTATCTCAGTGTGGTTTTGATTTGCATTTCCCTGAATATAAGGGATGTTGAACATTTTTTCATATGCCTGTTGGCTGTTTGCATTTCCTCTTTGGAGAAATGTTTTTTAAGTTCTTCTGCCCATTTCTCCTCTCTATCTGATGTTGTATATGCACTGAGAAAACAAAGAGGGTTGTTAAAATTTACCCTATCCTTTTTTGGGGACTGTGAGTTTTAGCAGTGCCATAAACCTTAATGTCTGTCTTTGAAGTTCCTATTTGTTTAGATGCAACAGGTTTTTTGGTTGTTGTTTTTGATGCAACTTCATCACAAGACCATTGGATTGTTTACTTTGTTGTTGTTGAGTCCTGTGACTTCTTTGTATATCTTTGTGATCAGTCCCTTATCAGTTGTATGGAGTGCAAAAATTTTTCCCAGTCAGTGGGGTGTCTCTCTGTTTTGGCTAATAGTATACAGAAGCTTTTCAGTTTGATATAATCCCAGGTATTTATCTTTTCCTTGACTTTTTTTGCTTTGGGTGATGAGTCTTTAAATATGTTACTGAGATGTATGTCTTATAGTGTTTTACCTATATTTTCTTTTATGTATTTTATGATTTCAGGTCTTATGTCCAGTTCTTTTATCCATTTTGAGTTGATTTTTGTGCACGGTGAGAGGTAGTGGTCTAGTATTTATTAAACAAACTGTCCATGTTCCATTGCATATTCTTTGCTCCTTTGTCAAAGATTAGTTGTCTGTATAAGTGTGGCTTTATTTCTGGGCTCTCTATTCAGTTTCATTGGTCTGTTGTCTGTTTTTGTTCCAATACCAAACTTTTAATTATTATGGCTTTGTAGTATAGTTTGAAGTTAGGAAGTGTGATACCTCCTTTCTCCTTTGTTTTCATCAGTAGGGCTTTGGTTATTCGTGTTTTTTTGTAGTATCATATGAATTTCATCAGTATTTGTTCTGTTTCTTTGAAGAATGTCATTGAGATTTTTATTGGAATAGCATTGAATCTGTAAATTGGTTTTGGCAGGACGGCCATTTTAATAATGTTAATTCTTCCAATCCATGAGCAGGGGATGTCTTTCCATTTCTTTGTGTCTTCTATTTCTTTTAACAGTGTTTGATAATTTTCTTTATATAGGTCCTTCACCAAAAATGAGGTAGTTTTTACTTCTATGTGTTTTACTTCTATGTGTTGACTTAAATAAATTGTGACTTAAATAAATGTGTTGACTTAAAAAAATTGAGGCAAATAAAAGTGAGTTTATTAAACAATTAAGATAAGTACTTGAATCTCCAGATGCCTCTGGGAAAGCTGCCCCAATTCTGAATCTCTCAGTGAGGATTACATATAGTTTGTAAGGATTCTTGCAAGGAAAATCCAGTTAATGTCTCTATCTAATGTTGCTTATGCACTAAGAAAAACAAAGAGGGTTGTTAAAATTTACCCTATCCTTTTTTGGGGACTGTGAGTTTTAGCAGTGCCATAAACCTTAATGTCTGTCTTTGAAGTTCGTATTTATTCAGATGCAACAGTGTTTTTTTTTTTTGGTTGTCGTTTTTGATGCTACTTCTTCACAAGAACATCTGGCTGTCTAACTCTTGGCTTGTGCCTCTTAGTTGAGACCTTGGAGAGGGCACCACTTATTTGTTAATTTGGTGAACACATTTAAGAAGGAGAAAAGCATTTCATTTTCAAAAGTGGGGGCCAGTTGAAACAGTTGGTCTAGCAGTAAAACTGAGTTCCTTTCGGGAATTGATTGTCCATGTGTTAAGGAAAACTCAGAAGGGATATTTAACTGCATGACAAGAAAAGGCAAAGCCTAGTGGTAGAGATTTATAAAAATAATAGTAAATATTTCTCTGCATAATGAAAAAACAGTATTTTTTTTTTTTTGAGATATTCCTTGGGTCCCAGAGAGTATTTGATTTTAGGATGAACAGGAAAGTGGCAGTGTAGCACTGGGTGAAGGAGGGATGGCTGGGCCAATAGAGTAGAGCTGCAGTAGGCTGAGAACCTAGGTCAGCAGCTTTGCCTAGTTTCCTTGTACTGCTTTGTAAGAATTAGAGACAACATTTAAATATGCTGATTTGGTACTTCTGATAATTGAAATTATCAGTTGGGTAGCTGCTGCCCCCTTTAGACAAGAAACTCAACCAGGTCTCTAGTTTACCACACACAGAGGGGTCACGATGTGCAAATGCTCCCACTTGGCCACTAGTGGTTTCATTCCTGGGGAGCACTGTAGGCGTGTGGCCTTACCACACTGGCTGCAGTGGGCTATCTGGGGCTGAAGAGGAGTTTCCATGAAGAGAAATGATAGTAAGGACAGATTCTGATGGGATCACGGTCAGTAAGTTTCTAAAAACTTTAGAAACCACTTAGAAGTTTCTTCATTCTCAGTAGAAGTGTTGCTAAATAGTGGCGGCATTTACCTCACCAAACTTGGTTCTTCTTTGACCATCTTCTTATCTCCTTGACCTCTCATTGTATTTTTTTTGTTATTTTGTATGTGATTATGCTTTTTTGTTCTGTAAGATAACTCCTTATTAAGCCAATCACATATGACTATTAAGTACTAAAGAGCAAGCTAGTCTCCAGGTCTAGATGATAAGCACCATTCTCAGGTGTTTGTTGAATACCAAATACAGTGCTCATCACTTAATGTAACTTTAGTTCTGTCAAGAGCCTTGAGTAGAATATACATTTTAAAATCAACCAAATTTTACCTTTTGAATCAAATCAAAACTGCTTTTGTCTTGCCTCCTTCCTCCAAATTGCTCAAAAAGTTCCATGCACACTCCAGTTTGCTTTGAGCACATGAAGCTGAAGTAAATATTGAGTTGTCAGATTGTGGCAAAGTCAGCATACTTTTTCTCTGCTAGGATTCTGACAAACTACAAGTTGCATTTACCTGCGATCTTAGTAAGAATTGATAATGTATCTGAAAATGTTTTTGATCTGTATCTGATAAAATATCTGAAAACACAGGTCAACCTATATAAAGTTGTAAATCTACACAAATATAAGGTGCTGTAAGGACAAAGGCTTTTATTGAGAATTATGGAGATTTTCTTGGCATGTAAACCCTTATCTTCCTCAGGGATATTTGGTCTCTTGGCTGTGTCTTATATGAGCTCTGCACACTCAAGCATCCTGTAAGTACGTTCAACGTCAGATTGATCTTGACTTATTGGAAATATATAGATGAAATTAACTCCTGAGAGACAATGGTTACTGTTGGTTTTATTAGATTGTTAAAAATTATATGGGCAAGCTATTAGGATAATAATAGAATTGTATATACTGACACAAAAATGTGTTCGTGCTTATAAAATAAAAACTCCAAGTTGGAGAAAGTATGCATAGCATATTTTCCTTCAAAATAAATTGTGAATGTATAATTAGCAAAGAAAAAAGTGTGTGGAAATCTATTGGAAGTCAGGCAAGAGCTTCCCAAAGCCTCCATCTGTGTCATCCCACAGAACGTACCGATTCCTTAAGCAAAAAGTTGTGACAGTCCATGTGAAGTGTTACCTGCTAGGGAGGCTTATTAAAGACCCAGTGCCCAGGGCTTCAACTAGAGTTGGTGAGGTAGGCACCCACTACTAGCATGTAGAAAACCCCCAGACTCCCGGGAAGCAGAGACTGTATTGTTCTCACAATTTAAGCACACTGAGCCACCCTGGGAATTTGGCAACTGGTGGGATCACCCCTGAAATTTAAGTTCCCAGCTGTCAGCAAAAGACCAATATTGTAGCAGGGCTTTCCAAGGATAGCATCTTAGCTGTGTCTACACAGCTGTTAGATCATCATCATTATCATCATCGTTGTCGTCGTCATCATCATCAAATGTCACTCAACTAGTAATTTTCTAACTAAAACCTGTATCTCTACTGCCACACTCTCCTGCTGAACATTACTATTATATGTAAATAACTGATGATTTCACACCATGGAAAATTTCCTGAGATATAAAGAATTTTTAAAGAAATGTTTTTATGTTAATTAAAAATCAAGGCATTGGATTTCACATCATTATGTCTACAACTCTTTAAACATTATTTTGAAAAAGACTAGAAGGAAATATCTCTCTGGGTGATGAAATGATATGTATTTTTCCTGACTATTTATAACTTTCTATGTCTTATAATAATTAATATATTTTGATAATAAGAAACAATTAAAACAAAAAACTTGTTTTAATAACCTGGTATCTGGGTGAGAAGCTGCCTACAATAGCTATTTATGAAATTTTAGTTGATGAAAAAGTTAGGGTGGACATAGTACTTCTAAAGAAGTTGAAACATCATTTGCTTCTTGCTCTTACTTTAAATTGACTTTTCCTCTGACCTAATATCATTATTCCTTGTCCTTTCAGTTTGCAGGTGACAACTTACACCAGCTAGTTCTAAAGATTTGTCAAGCCCATTTTGCCCCAATATCTCCAAGGTTCTCCCATGACCTTCGGTCCTTGATATCTCAGCTTTTTAAAGTATCCCCCAGAGATCGTCCATCTATTAATTCCATTTTGAAAAGGCCCTTTTTAGAGAAACTTATTGCCAAGTATTTGACTCCTGAGGTGAGTTTTGGGGCAAATCTTGTTTGGATTTTGACAGATTTTGATTAGTAAGTCCTTGACACATGTTTGGTTTTAGGTCATTCAGGAAGAATTCAATCATACCCTCCTAAGGGAGCAAGACCATCAGCTTCTCGACCTGCTAGGAAGGTGGTTCCAGGTAAGAATGAGTTCATGGGCCTCCCCGGTGGCGTAGTGGTTGAGCGCTGGTTTGCGAAGCTGCCCGCAGCCTCTGCAGCGGGGTTCGATCCCCGGCTGCTCCCAGGCCACCGGAGGAGGGTCCCACATGGCACGCAGACCTCTCCTGCCGCCCGCTGCTCCCTCAGCAGTGTACCTCATCAGTCTGCCTGCTCTGCTCTCCCCTCTGGCTCTGGTGAATTATCTCATCCTCCCGCACTTCTGACTGTACCCAGTGCTTGTATAAATAAATAAATAAATCTTAAAAAAAAAAAAAAAAAGAGATGAGTTCATCATCCCAAAACCACTTATATCATGTGCTCATATAGTGAGTTACATGTGGCTAATGACTTTAGGGAAGAAATTGCACCAAAGAGGTTTGAATATGGGTGTTAAAAAATATGAGCATTATAAAAAAAATCTAGTGGGCATGCCTGAGATGCTGTCTATGGAGCTCATATATGACCTGGAGGATTCTTCTTTTTCTTCCCATTATCAGGAAAACCACGAAACAGTGGGTTTATCAATTAAACAGATGCTTGAAGAGGTAGAATACAAAATTAACTTTTGTGTAGAGGAGGGATTGTGGAGAAAAGAAGGTTTATAGACGTGGGTTGATGAGATGAGTTTATTTTTTTGAAATAGAGAAAATGAACTGGCAATTTAAAATTCTTTTCCAGAGACCTATTGGAACCAAAGTTAGAATTTTGGACCTAATTTTTTTTTACAATTTGAGAACCATTACTATGTTACCTCCAAAGCAAGAAAGGTGATGATGATATTTACTGTATGGTAATGACAAATAGTATGGTGATGCTAGAGAAGCAACTTTAGTGTCAGGAATCAGCTGATGAAGTGCTCTCTCTCTCTCTCTCTCTCTCTCTCTCTCTGTGTGTGTGTGTGTGTGTGTGTGTGTGAAAGAGAGAGAGAGAGAGAGAGGGATTAAAGAGAAAATTACTAATTCAGTGGATGTTGTGAATGTAAGAGCAGAATTTAGTTATAACCAAATGTCTGAACATAAAGGATGAGGAAGAGTAGAAAATCTCTCCAAGAAATCAGTGCTAGAGAAATATTATCCATTGTGATAGAGAATTAAAATTGAGGAAAGTTACAAAAGGAAAATAAATGAGCCTTTTTGCCATGTTTAATTTGATTTGGCATTGTTGTATATTATTCTAGGTTGGGTGTGTTTAGAAAATAGATAAAATAGATAAAAATAAAGGATGAGAGAAAGTGCACCATCCAAACATAGGAAAGATTGGAAAACAAGAACAAATTTTGATGGTGACAAAAACAAACATCTTAGAAGACCCACTCATACATTTCAAGCAATAATGTGATGTGAATGGTGTGGCCTGATTACTCAAGCCCTGATTATTACATTTAATTTCCCTAATTATGTTGTTTCTGTTGAAATTAATGCTAATTACTAAAATTATTTTAAAGTAGTGTTATGTATTACTAGACATATACAAAGGAACTTTGCAGTAAAAGGTTGTCTCCATTCAAAGAAAATGCATAATTTTGCAGTGTAAAGTTGTGGAAATTTCTTAAAACTTACATTGTTTTATTTCGGTTAAATAAGATTCTAATAAACAGAAGGTGAGATTCCAGGGAAAGTGCCTACCAAGATCAAGGATATCTGTACCAGTTCAAAGGAAGGATATATTACATAGAAAGGAATGGAGACCACCCACTGGCGCTCAGAAACCCGTATTTGTAAGTTGGATGAAACCCTCCCTCTTGTTTATAAGCTGATAGTGTCTTCCACAGACCTGCGCTCACATGTTCATGGCTATAAGCTCATGACTCTGGAATCCACTCATTTTGTACTTAAAATCATTCTGTAATGAGCATTAAAGTGGTATTTTGTTGGACAACTTTTCATTATATTTTTAAAAGCAGTGCTGTATTTTCTTGCAAGTATGTTATGCCTGAGTTTTAGTTTTATAATCAAATTCTTCCAATTTCTTTAGCTGAAGAAGATTTTTCTATATAGGAGAACTTTATAGCATAGTAGCAGAAAACGTGGGAAATTTTTATTATATAATCATTGATTTTTTTTCCTAGAAAAATCTTTCTGCTGAGTTATTTGAATCCATTTTAGCAGAGTGCTAAATCTTTTAGTTCACGCAAGTAAAATGCTCTGATAATATATATAATAACATGGATTTTTTTTAATGGAAGAATTGTATTTCTTAAAAATTAGTCCTTTTCATCTCTGTATAACTTTGGGGTTACATTTTTACTTCTACATAAGTGCACATGCTTCACTCACCCTCCACCAAACCTCCTATGCCAATGCACTACCCCATCCTTCCTCTATTTCCTTTCCTCCTCCCCCCAGTTACTCTGGTAACCAGTATATTTTTCACAGAGTCTAATAACTGTTTTTGCTCTGCTTTGCCAGTGTATGTCTTTCGGTTATTCATATTTCACAGATGAGTGAAACCATCAGTCTCTGATTTATTTCATTAGCATAATCACCTCCAAGTCCATTAATTTTGTCCCATAAGGTACTATTTCATCTTTTTAAGTAGCTCAGTAGTATTCCATTGAATATATATTCCACAATTTCTTAATCTAGTCATCCGTTGTTCAATTCTTAAGTTGGTTTCATGACTTGGCAGTTGTGGAAGTGCTGCTATGAATGCAGGAGTTCATAAATCCTTTTCTATTAGTGTTTTCATATTCTTTGGATAGATGTAGAGGTAGTGCTAGATCACTGGGATGTCCATTGTCATTTTTTTAAAGGTATCTGCATACCATTTTCCATAAAGACTGCACCAGATTGCATTTCCACCAACAGTGGATGACTTTGTTCTTCACATTCTTCACAGCATTTGTTGTTTCTAGTCTTTTTATATTGGCCATTCTCACAGGGGTGAGGTGATATCTCATTGTGGTTTTGCTTCATTTTCCTTGTAATACATTATGTTGAACTTTTTTTCTAAATAGTTTTTTTTTAAAGATTGATTTATTTATGCAAGCACTGGGGTTCAGGCCAGAGGTGTGGGAGGGTGAGAGAATTCACCAGATACAGATCAGGGAGCAGAATAGGCAGAAGGACCGAAATACACTGCTGAGGGGAGCAGCGGGTGAGATAGGAGAGGCCTGCTGCACCATGTGGGAATCTCCCTGGCTGGCCAGGAATCGAACTGGCGACGCAGAGTCTGCGGACAGCCTCACAGCGCTGCGCTCAACCCGCTGTGCCACCAGGGAGGCCCAGATGTTGAATATTTTTTAATGAGCCTGTAGGCCATCTGAATGTCTTCTTTAGAAAGTACTATTTAGGAATTTTGTCCCATTTTTTGAATGGGTTGTCTTTTTAAAATTAGCTCTCTTGTTACAGCTTGACCAAGGGTCACTCTGGGACCCCCGAGCTTGCAAGTTCTAAAAGGATCTGGCCATACATGCGCACAAAGGCAAAGGACAATTTTAGTGTGAAAGATTTTAGGTAGAATTAGTGTGCATAGAGAGAGAAGAGAAGAAAGTATATTCTTCCTAATAAACATATGAAATTATACATCCCCTCACGGGTAAATAACTAGCCAAACAAGGTGGTTCTGAAGCAGAACTGCTGAGACCCAAAACCTTGCCACTAGTCCATGGCACCTTCTGGTGGGGACCCAGAGGAAGAAGGCACAAGGGTCCTGTCAAGGCTGGGGTGAAAGGAGCAAAATCAGAGAACAAACCAAGAGAATGGCTCTTTCAAGTGTCTCTACATGTTTCTCCTCCATGTGTCTACTTCCATCTCTCCTTTCAGCACTACTAAGGCATAGTAACAAGAGCCCTCCCCTCTTTTATGAGCCCACCTGTCTTCCCTGTTAAATAGCTTCACCAGGCCTCTCCCCTCATTAAGTGGGGTTGGGAAACATGTTACCCTTCCCCTTTTAGGGAGATGTCTCAGCAACATTTTCTTTTTTAAAAAGATTTATTTATTTATGCATACAAGAACTGGGGTACAGGCCAGATGTATGGGGGGGGAGAGGATTCACCAGAGACAGAGTGGGGAGCAGAACAGGCAGATGTACTGAAATGCACTGCTGAGGGGAGCAGCGGGTGAGACAGGAGAGATCTGCTGTGCCATGTGGGTAACTCCTTGCCCAGGGATCGAACTCGTGCTGCAGTGGCTGCGAATAGCTTCACAGGTTGCATCTTAACCCCTTGAGCCAATAGGGAGGCCCCCCTGTCTCAGTAACATTTTCATAGGAACCACCTCTAATGTTCTCATTACCATTTGGGATTTTAAAATCTGAAAGAAGCTATTTGTTTCCTTCTGAAACTTTTCTCTGTTTTCAACAAGTAATTAGTAGTCCCTTCTAATGTTTGGATAGTTTAAAGTAAAATTATGAAACTAAGAAAAACTTAGTTTTCACACTTTAAAATATTTAAAAACACAATTATATATTTTATGTTTAGACTAACCAACCAAATTTTATACAGTCACTTTAATATTTAAATAGATCTGTATTAAAAATGCCATTTTTGTAAGTTAAAAATGGCCAAATCGCTACAATTACATATATTTTGACCCTGGTAGCATTAAAAAGGACAAAGAATATAGCATGTTACTTCTCTACAGTGAGGAAATTTCCATTTTAACCTTTTGTTTGATTATTCATATTTCAACTTTGAGGTCTTTCCAATAGACTTGATCTTTCCCCCTTTTGTTATCTATCAACTGTTATGAAGGCAGAGTTGTCAGGATTAGAGTTAAATTCTGCAGGACTATTTTGCAGAATTATAGTTAAATTCTGCAGGATTACTTTTTAAATTCTGCAGAATTTTGACTGGCTTTCCTATGTTAATTTGGCCATTCTCGCCTTCTAACTCAGTGGTCTTTACTCAGCTCTAAAATAAACAGTTGTTGGGCCTCGGTGGCGCATTCTAAGCTCTTTCGATGTGCTAAGAGGAACATGAGTTCCTGGTGCTCCCCTCAGCAGTGTACTTCGGTCCTTCTGCCTGCTCTGCATCTGGCTCTGGTGAATTCTCACCCTGTTCTGACTGTACCCAGTGCATGTATAAACGTAAATAAAGCATGCCTCTATAAATAAACAGTTGTTTCTGGTTCTCCTCTAATTGTGTTCTGGTTGGGTGTATGTGTACCTTGGGATGGCAGTCTGCCTGATTTTACTCCAGAAGAATAACTCTTAACTGGCTCATAATCTTTTATTTTTTTTCAAGCTTGATGCCATTTTGTATTCAATTTATTAAATATAAACATGTTGCAAATTCCCAAATTGTGAGTTGCACAGCATTTATTCTCCTATAAAGGTGTGAATTCTCCTTTAAGGTGTAAATTAAGTTCATGAAAATTACAAAAACAATAATACTGAGAGTCTTTCAGGTTGAGTTGGCCAGGCACGATCACTAGTCAGTATTTTTGATACACTAGCATGAAAAACACGTGATTCATAATCAGCAAAATACTACACACCCTAGGCTTCTAAACTCTTTTCTGCTCTAGGATTTGCTGTTTCTAAGATCATTTTACTCAAAATCAAATCTGGAGCAAAACCAATAATATGCCTTTAATACTCTATCTTAGATAAGGTCATTATCAAACTGTCAATGAGAGATTTGTATTATATGTCAAATGACAAAACTAAAACAAATTAGTAGTAAGCTTGATGTCAATCCATGCATTGGGGGAGGCCAGTGTCTCCCAAGCAGTGCAACACTGTTCTCGAGGGATTTGGGGCAAGAGCAAGTTTTATAGGATACGAAGAAGCCACTTGGAAAGGGATAATGATCAGGAGTCCCTTAAAAGGACAGCAGCTCCTATTTTCTAGGCTAAGGTAAACTGATCAAATCTGAGGTGGAGGATTAGGATTGGTGTTTTCTAGGTTTCCTTGACAATGAGGTATCTCTGGTAAGTGCAAGCCAACTCATATCTGTGGTATGGGATGAGTGTTTTGGGAGGCCTCCATTTTGTGTGTTCCAATATCCAAATAAACTCTAGCATATGAATTTTAAAAACCTCCTCTCTTTTTCTGAATCCTCCAGATAAAAATGGTGGAAAGACCCAAACTTGCTGCAGTGTGTGGACATTATGATTATTATTATGCTCAACTTGACCTATTGAGGCAGAGAGCCCAAGCACCAAGCCACTGCTTTGTTCCTCAAAAAGATGCTGGATCTGAGGAGAATTATAATCAGGAAGAGAGTCACACCCCATCACCATGTCAATGGTAATATCATCCTCTAACTTCAACTTTGTTTTTCTGAAAATGTCTTTCTATGTCTTCATTCATTCTGAAATCCTTTCAACAATAATCCAACAGAACAATAATCCAAGAAGAACTTCCAAAATCTTTATTGTAATTACTTGATTCATGGTTCCCTTGACCCCTTTCTATTTCAGGTCTGATGTAGCTTTTCTTCTAATTTATGCAACCATGTAATTGTGGACACAGATTCAAACTCATCAATTTTTAATATTTTTCATTCTTCTAGTACATTCCATTCTGTGGGAGTGATGAAAATAGTTATATATGTATCATTTTCCAAAGAGGTTTTTAATATTAGTACTAATCAATAGTAAGTCTGTAATCACAGACCTAATCTGATCTAATCCTCACATCAACCTCTGTGAGGTATTGTGCCTGTTTTATAGATGAGGAAGGAAGGCCCAGAGACTATAACTAGTTTGTCATTTCATCATATTTCTAAACGACTGACTTATCAACTTGACTCTTCAAAAACTGGGGTCTACTCATCTTGTTGCTCTTGTAGGAGTAACTTCTGAAGTGATAGTTTTGTCTCTGGAGCCCTAGAAGGTACTGTGATTCCACAGAACTTTATCACTGTACATGCTGTGATGTAAAATGTGGTTGCTATTATTTAGCCATCAGAAATTACAGAAATTCTTTGTAGGAAATGCTGCAAAAAAGATAACTATGTGGAACATATCTATAAACCTGAAAATACTTTGACCAGAATTATGCTGGAGAAATGCCTTAAACATTATGAGAGACAGTTAAGTCCTCAGCTCTTGATTCACTAAACATTTGGAGCAGCATAAGGAGTAGAGGTGAAGGGATGGGTCAGCAGCTCAAGTTGCTCAGTGTGTGATGCAGGAGACAGACAAGCACCCTCCAGTCTTGGGATGACGAAGCTGTGGATTAGGTACCCACCAAAGTATGAGAAGATCCTGGCGTGGGCTTGTTTTCTCCCTTCAACATAACCTAGAAAATCTTGGATCAGAATATTTTCCTGTTTTATAGTCTCCTGTATTTCCTGTCATTACTGTTCTCTTTGTCTCCTTTTCTTCTCGATCCTAAAGATTTTCTTTTCCACGGTACACATTGTGTAACTCTGAACTACTCAGATTTACAACTTCAAGCCACGTATACTAAGCTGAAAATTTACTTGCGAAACCAGTGCCTCAGACTACTTAAAATTTCTACTCAGGCTGAATATTTTTATTTCTTAAGGCCTGCTGAATATCTTCATAGGAAATTTGAAGCTCAGCAATATAAGTTGAAAGTGGAAAAACAGCTGGTAAGTAAAACACCAAAGATGGGAGACAATCAGGAATTTTCTAATTGTCTCTCTCTTCACCGATACTCATGGATCTGTACAGCTAATGTTATCCTTCATGGAAGATCAAGACTGCCCTGCACATTTCCCATTTTTTAAACACTTACTTATTTTGCATAGAACTGGGGTGTAGGCCAGTGGTGTGGGGCATTGAAGAATTTACCAGAGGTGGAGTGGGAAGCAGAACAGGTGGATTTACTGAAATACACTCTAAGGGGAGCAGTGGATGGGAGAGGTCTGCTGTAGGTTAGCTCCTTGGCAGTAGGTTAGCTCCCTGGCAGGGGTCAAACTCAGGTCATAGTGGTGATAGTGCTGAGACTTAACCCCTAGACCACCAGGGAGGCCCTTGCATTTCCCCAATTTTTAAGCTAAAAGAGAATAATGGGAATAGGCTTGAATCAGAGTCTGGGAAGTATGGGGCTACTGTCATTCACTGTGTGGCCTTAAGCAGACCTTGCAAACTTTCTAAGCCTAAATTTCATTTTGATAAATGACGGTTTTGCAGTAGGTGAGTTTCGAGGTCCTCTGCAGTTCTTTGATTCTATTTTATTAGAATTCTACACATTTTTTTTAAAAAAAGAGATTATTACACTTGATTAGAAATGAAAGTTATACTTACCTTTAAGTACAGAGTTGAAATTTTTGAATGGGGGTAGGAAAACTTTTTTGGCTGAGGGAGATTAGGTGTGTATCTCATTCATTTGTGTCATATTTTGAACTACTCAAAAGCTCCAGTTCTATTTCCCTACCTAATTTTATACTTCAGGGGTTGCCAAGCCTTTATAGAACTTTAATTTCTTTTTTTAAAAGATTTATTTTTATTTTATTTATGCAAGAACCAGGGTACAGGCCAGAGGTGCAGGAGGGTGAGAGGATTCACCAGAGACAGAGCGGGGAACAGAACAAGCAGAATGACTGAAATACATTGCTGAGGGGAGTAGCGGGCAAGACAGGAGAGGTCTGGCGCGCCATGTGGGTTGCTCTGCGGCTGGCAGGGATCGAACCGGCACTGCAGAGGCTGCAGACAGCCTCACAGTGCTGCGCTCAACCACCTGCACCACCAGGGAGGCCTTAGACCTTTAATTTCGCAATTATAATTTACCAGTTCAGAAAATGAATCTAGTATCTTTCATGATAGTATATTGATTGCTTGGGATAAACACAATTAGTTTTAGTAATTCTCTTTCTCTTTTAATACTTAAGAAAACTATGACTCATTACAAAAATACGGAGTTTGATTGGTGATATAATTCTTGTTGACATGAAAAATTCTATGAACACTGGTGGTTTGGTGGAGGGTGAGTGGAAGTTATTCATATGGAAGAGCAAACATGTAATCCCAAAAATTAAAATAAAAAAATTTAAAATAATAAAAAAATAAAGGAAAAAGACAAGGTCAAATGAGATGTTTCCAAAATGCAAGTATGCTTTATAAATTATCTTATTCAAATAATAGGGTCTTCGTCCATCTTCTGCTGAGCCATGTCACAACCGGAGAAGTAATAAAGACGAGCCTAGATTCCAGGAGCTGCAGCTCAGGAGAAATGAAATGAAGGAACAGGTTAACAACATCAGTCCATGGCTGTCACTGTACCTCTGTTGTCTTTTGTACCATAATATAGTGTGACATTTATTTTCTACTTTGTGCCTGAAACCTTGGTTGCACAAATACTTGATGGACACACTCATGTTGGCACTTCCAGGGGATAGAGAGCCATGTATCTTACCCTCTTAGAGAATGCAATGTAGCTCATAGGCTTTTATCTTGGGTTGATAAGGTCCATCATTAACATTTTTGAAAGTTGTAGTCATTCCCTGGGGCTGCCTTAGCAAGTTACAACAAACTGGGTGGTTTAAAACAACAGAAATTTCTTGTTTCACAGTTCTGGAAGCTGTAAGTCCAAAATCAAAGTGTTAACAGGGCTGTGCTCTTTCTGAAACCTGTAGGGGAATCCCTTCCCTGCCTCTTTCTAGCTTCTGCTGCTTTGTAGGCAAAATGGCATTCCTGGGCTGGCAGCTCTCTGGCTGCATTCTCTGCCATGGCCTTCTCCCTATCCCTCTTCACGCAGCTGTCTTCTTAAAGGGACACCCATCATACTGGATTAGGGACTTTTATACTCCAACTAATTGCATCTGCAATATCATTATCTCCAAATAAGTTCACATTCGAAGATACTAGAGGTTAGGACTCCAACATATGTTTTTTGAAGGGTCAAAATTCCATCAATTACAGGACTATATATAAAAAGGGGACTCTATCAATTCATAAACACATTTGGGGTTTTATATGTAAGTGTGGTCACCATAAGCTACCATATCCCTCTCAGGGATGAATGATCACAGCCAAAATATAAGGCAGATTGTCATCCTCAGGAGCAATATGTTTTTTGATTCCTGCTGTTTATCACATATTTTAAAAATCATAGGCAATGAAGACATTATTTTGTTCAGTTCACCAAAAAATTAAAAATGCTTGTGTTGGGATTGCTTTCTAGGAATATTGGAAGCAGTTAGAGGAAATCCGCCAGCAGTATCACAAAGATATAAAGGAAATCCGAAAGAGGATGGGGAATGAACTGGAGGTAAATAAATTCATTCTTCTAAAGGAAACATTGTCTTATTGCTTTAGAGATAACTAAGCTGAGCAGATATTGATAACATTGATCTCATAGGAAAAATTAAATTTTATCTGATCAACTTTTTTTGATAGAAAAGTTGTTAGATCGAGTTGAAGCTTTATTATTTGGGTTGACCTGAGACTACTCAAGATAATGAAGTTATCTGAGATTCCCAGGAATGGCTGATTGTCTTCCTCATTTCAGTCATGTGAGCAGCTACTTTGCACCAGAACTGAATTAGATGTAGAAAGAGCAAGTTCATACCCATAAGATAGGAGGAAAGACTAGCATTTATTGAATTCAGCTATAATGAAATAGTCTTAAATACAGGGGTTAGTTTCAAAAATCTATAAGGCAAACTTTGAGTTGAGATGATTCTTAAAAATCTATTAAAGGTGCCATGTTGGACACACATTCTTCCATCTCTCAGCAACCTGATTCATCAGTGAAGATCCAGATGAAATAGCTATTATTTGGAGACCATGTTGTGTGAAAAACACTAGATATTTAAATACAAGAAATTTCTCCAGAGGCCTGGAATGTGCCTCCTATCAGAGTCTTGTGGACAATGACACTGGCCCAGGGCATAGCTGGCCTCTCACTTCAGATATACTGGAGTGACACACTCATTGAGTAGAACCATCCACACTCCAAAATGGGTCCTTCTCTCTCTCCCCTGCCCTGAGCAATAGAGATGAGCAAATAGATGAGTTAACACAGGAGAAATGAACATATGGCATTATTCAGTGGTAAGGACCAGTATCTGAACTAGAGTTTTCACATATTTTACCCCATGTAGTCCTCATAACAGCTGTTAAGTAACTCATCCAAAGTCATTTAGATATTATGAGGCAGGCTAAATAAATACCTGATTCAAAAAGCTCCATTCTTTCTCACATATGTGCTGCTGTCCATAAAGAGCTGGAAAAATAAGACACACACACACGTAGCAGTGATCGAATAAGACTGAATAAGGTCAAGCTCTGGAGATGCAGAGGAATAAAGATGAGCAGGATGAGCAGAAGGAGAGAGGAGATGGATCATAAACCATGTTTGAGAAGATGAGTGGAATTTAGAGAGGCAGCGCCAGGCATAGGTTCACACAGAGGATTGGGCACCAGGAGGGCAGGATGAGGATGGCTTTCCCCAGCACAGAGGGCCTGGTTAGTGGTGAGGAGCTTGTGCCCTCATCAGCCTTATTTTTAAGGTGGAAAGCCTGTGCCTAGGAAAGATGGAGAGTAGACATTTCCTGGGAGACTGTGGAAAAGCTCTGGGAACAGCAAGTCAGCCATATGAGAAGGGGCCAAAAAAAGACTCTTCCAGTCGCTCCCATGATCTCCCCTAAGCCAGCAGGAGGGAACGCATTTTTTGCTAGATACCATTCAAGCCCTGGATGAGGTTCATAAAATAACCTTCAGAACTGACACAGAATCAAACTTGTTGACTGTGTATAATTTGTCTTAAAGGAGGACTCAAAAGTAAGTCATAGAACCTACTTGGTGAAGAAGAGTAACCTACCCATCCACCAAGAGGCACCTGAGGAAGACACACCTGTGCAGGTGATGGTTAGATGCTCTGGTGATACTTACTCCTCACTGTGCAGTACAGTCATGTTGGAAATGTAAAGAAAAAACCTCAAGTATTTTGGGATCTTCCCCAAATGTGGGGGGGGGTGTCCAGGCATCGTGTTTTCAGAAGCTGCCCAGGTGATTTAGTGTGCTGCTAAGTTTGAGAACTGCTCACATTAGTGTATGAAAGTTCAGCTTTCCAGATGGTGTTTGAGTCAAAGTCTCAGACACATTGCTCAGAAATCTGACAGTAAACTTCTCTTTCATCTCAGCCTTATATATTTGATGAGAGTAGGGAAATGAATCAAATGGTTCTCAAGAACTATTTTGTTTGTTTGTTTGTTTCTTCCGGAATGTCTGTCAACTTTATTTTCAAGGTGTCATGAGGGCCTCCCTAAGGACAGGTGAGAGGAACCCAGGCTAAGCTAAGGCTGAAAGGGCTCCCTGAATGATTTGCTTTGTGAAATCCCCCAGGACTTTCACAGGATTTGATGCTGGAGTTTCACAGTGGATGGAGGTTGAATTTTCTACCCAGTGGGAAGGATGAGGCTTGGGAGTTTAAGATAATTTTTTTTTAATATTTTATGTACCACATCTTCTTGATCCAGTCATCTATTTTTGGGCATTTGGGTTGTTTCCATATCTTAGCTATTGTAAATAGTGCTGCTATAAACATAGGGGTGCAGGTGCCCTTTGGAATTACTGTTTCTGTCCTTTGGGTAAATACCTAGGAGTGGAATTGCTGCATCATATGGAAGCTCTATGTTTAGTAGGTCCAGAAATCTCCACACAGCTCTCCATAGTGGTTGGACCAGTTTGCACTCCCACCAGCAGTGCGGAGAGTTCCTTTTCTCCACAACCTCAGCAACATTTGTTGTTGCTAGTTTTTTTTAATATGTGCCATTCTCACTGGTGTAAGATGGTATCTCATTATAGTTTTGATTTGCATTTCCCTGATTACAAGTGATGTTGAACATTTTTTCATATGCCTGTTGGCCATTTGCGTTTCCTCTTCAGAGAAGTTTCTTTTTAGCTCTTCTGCCCATTTTTTGACTGGATTATTTTCTTTGTTTTTGTTGAGTCTCATCAGCTCTTTGTAGATTTTTGTGATCAGTCCTTTATCATTAGTGTTGTATGCAAAAATGTTCTCCCAGTTGTGGGGTTTCTCTTTGTTTTTGTTATTGTCTCTTTTGCTGTGCAGAAGCTCTTTAATTTGATGTAGTCCCAGCTGTTTATCTTTGCCTTCACTATCACTGCTTTGGGTGATGTGTCTGTAAAGATGTCTTTGATGTGCATGTCATTTTAAGAACAAAAAAGCAATATGACACTTCTTCTACAATTGTAACAACCAGAGTACACAACCAGCCTCACAAATATAAGTGAGACATAAGTCACAATCTTGTTTCAGAGTTCATAATATTGCAAGGAAGAAAAACACCCTTCCCAAGGTTGCAGGGCAAACAACTAATAATGATTCAAACTGACATGTGCCATATGTGAAGAACATCCAGACATTGTGGTAATACAGAAGAGGCAGTAATTAATTCTAAGGGGGAGATGATAGTTACCTAATATAAGATGGTGGAGAGAAGAAAGCATTACAAAAATATATGTGTGTGTGACCAGACCAGTCTGGTCTCAGGTCTGTGCCTCTTCTTGTCTGGTGTATAGTACCCTTTTCTTCCTGTAGCTGCCAACTTGATAAGCTGTGGAAAGGCAGCTCAGAAATGGTAAAAAGAAACAATGAGCCAAGGAAATTGTGTATATATATATATATATATATATATATACACACACACACACACATCTCCACACAATATTGATGTCTATCTCTTCCTCTATCTCCATATAGGTTTCTTCTGCTACTTGAAAGTAGAGTGCTCCTATGGTATGATTTGGTAGGTTATTTTTGGGGTTTGGGAACATTGTTATTGTCCCCTGCCCTGGGAGCAGGCCCAGGGGCACTCAATCTGATCCCACTGACAACACAGGCAGATAAGCTGGGAGTGAACCAGCCGCTGTCCACGGCCCACCTGCCAGGAGTCAGAGGAATGGAACTAAGGGTCCTGCTCCCAAACTGAGGAAAGAGCTCTTGAGACCTTCTGGTCCAGGCTGAAAAGAGGTCTCCACAGGCATAGGTGAGGCAAAGAGTGAGGGTGACATCAGCAAAAGAGCAAGACAGAGAGTTCTGGGGAGACCTTTCTCGGCATGAGTGGCTCCGTGAGTTACCGGGGCTTGGGATCTATATAGGTTTTAGGAATGGGGTTTGAGAACAAAGGAATTAAATGTTCTTGGCTGAGAAGGCAAGGAGAGTAGACTTGGCTAAAGTCCACTTATTGTTGCTAGCGGTGGGCCCCAGCAGCAGCAGCGCGGGGGTTGTGCAGGGCTGGTAACCATCTCCACGATGACCATCTGTGGGGGCTGGGTGCCCCCAGCAGCTCCAGTGTGAACCAGTCTGGTCTCAAGGTCTGTGCCTCTTTTCTTCGGATCTGTAGCACCCTTTTCTTCCCATAGCTGCCAACTTGATAAGCTCTAGAATGGTAGCTCAGAAATGGTAAAAAGCAACAATGAGCCAAGGAAATTGATGGCAGCAGGTGTCTGGACCTGGAGTCGTAAGGTTTTTTAACCTCTTGTTTACCAACCCATGGAACAGCAAAATTCTTTTCCCTGAATCCTGTCCTGTTCTTGTCCTGGGACCCTTCCTGTCTCATAATTATTTCTACGGAATCATTTTTGAGCATTCCCAGACCCCAAACCACTTACCAAATCATACCAAATAGGAATACTCTACTTTGGATATGAGGGAAACCTCTATCTATAGCTGCATCTATTAAGGAGACTCCTAAATTTCTGGCTTGGAAGGGATGAAAATGCCATTTACTTAGACGCGGTATAGAGGATGGGAGAAGAGTGGGGAGCAAAATTCAGAGGAGGAACAATTCAGAGTTCCACGTTGGACATGTTGAGTTAAAGAAAATCTGAGCGATTGCTTACCTGCTTTTGGGCCTTCCTCCTGCTGCAGCCACTGTGTGGAACACTCTTTTCCCAACTGGCTCTGCCAAGGTCCACATCATTGCAGGGCTTAAGTCAAATGCCAAATAAATCTGTATTACTCTCAACTTCTATCATTTTCCATGCTATTCTCCTATTTTATTTCTTTCATAGCACTTAGCACTTTCTGAAATTATGTCATTCGTTTAACTCTGTTGTTACCTAAATGCAGATGACATGTGTGGAAGGAATTGTAAATAGAAGTAAATAGAAGTTCCATGTCAGCAGGGACCTTTTGGTCACAATCACAGTGTGAGTACACTTGTAGGACAGCATCTGGCCCTCAGTGGCTGCTCAATATGAATTTGTGGAATGAATATTAAAGTGAAGATGATGCCAAGTAGGCAGTTGAATATATATTGTGTCTCACCGCAGAGGGGGAGAGAGCAAGCCTGAAGGTACATGGTTAAGAGTCATTGCGTGAAGATGGCATTTAAATCCGTAGGGATGACTGAGACCATCTTCTATTGAGGAAGTGGAGACAGAGGGCCCAGGACTGACACCTGAGTAAGCTCAGTGCTGAAGTTCACCTCTCCGCAATTCCTTCCACATATGTCATCTGCATTTACAGCCTTCTCTTCCTCAATTGCCCATCAGTTTTTAAAGTCCACGCCTTCCTTTATGTTCTCAAGAGCTGTGCACTTTTCCTGTGTTCCTCATTCCTTAAGGGAATGATCCTGTAGTCAGAATCACATTCTTGAATTAGATTAGGTTATATTGAGTGATAAGTGTTGTTACATTATAAACTTTTACCCATTGTGATCTCAGTGTTAAATGTATTACTATTCTAAGTTAATGGACACTGTGCCCAAGATTTCAGTGAATTATCGTTAGCTATCCTTTACAAAGGCACATTTTTATTCTCAAAGTAATCATGCATTCAATCCAGAAGTCAAACATTATTTGATCCAGGGGTTGTTAAAATATAACAGTCTGATTGATCAATATTAAATGATAGATTTTCATTTTTCTCTAAACTTTCAGGATATTGAAAGAGACTTGAAACAGATTAGACTTCAGAACATAAAGGAAAGTGTAATTCCAGAACAGAAATATAAAGCTAAGGTAATAAACATTTTTGTCTTTTGGTTTCATATTAAAAGCTTGGCTGGTAGTCCCCACCTTACAATCTGGGTTACCTATAGGACTTTCCTCCCTACTATTTTATGGAATTGCCTTATTTTGTTAATGTTAAACTGGTGACTTTCAGTATCTGTAATGTCAAATAGGGGGTTGTAAATTTATTGGATTGCTAAACTAAGACTTTTTTCTTGATTTCTTCAAGAGAGGGGTAAAGTTTGAAATTAATTTAGACAACTGCATTTCTGATGAAAACACCATCCAAGAGGAAAAGGTATGCCATTAAGTATATATTTCCATTACGTGGCATGAGAAAAATGAGTGTCTTAATAGCTTGTTTCATGAAATTTTTGCACAGGGGCTAAGGAGAGTTTTCTTCAAACATTTTAGAAGGATCTCTGGTGTTCAACTGAGTGTTCCCAAAATACTTTTAATGCTCCCACTCTATGTTTTTTACTTGAAATTAGTCCCTTAGATAGACTATTCCAATCAGATTTACTTTTTTTTATAAGAAACTATTTTATATGAGGAACTATTTTTCTCATAATATAACTTTTTACCATAGCCAAATTAAAATAGGAGACCATAATAGTCAGCAACCAATATACATATTTAAGAAAATGGAGCAGTTTCCCTAAAACTATGCATATTTTATAATTTTAGGTTTTATTTATTTATAACTTTGCACTGGCCTTTCATAAATCTCAGGCAGTTGGGCTCTCATTGACACAGCAGTGAACACACTAGCACTGTCCACTCAAGCTTCATTTTATCACTGAGTTCGGCATCTTTTCTCTACCCACTTTTTTCCAGACCTGCTAACAAATACCAAAAATGAGCCTATTTGTGTCTCCATTTCACTTTCTCTGAGTTTACCTTTAAAAGTACCAAAAGCTCAGTATGAGTGTGTATATATACGTATATATGTGTGTATATATTCTATATCAGAGCTAATACTCAATTTCTTTTATATTCTTTATTAATTTAAAATAATTTAATGTTATCATTTCTTTCCAATCCTTTTGATGTGTGTGGTGAATGACTAGTTGTGTTTTTTAATAGACTGCATGTTTGATAGCAGCTTTAGGTTCATACCAAGATTGAGTGGAAAGTATGGAGATTTCTCATAGATGCCCTGCTCCTACAGGTGATAACCTCTCCACCATGATAACCTCTCCACCATCAACACTCCCCACCAGAGTGGGACATTTGTTACATTTGACACCTCAATATCAGCCAGGCTCATAGTGTACTTTAGAGTTCACTCCTGATGTACATTTTATCGGTTTGGACAAATGCATAATGATGTGTGTCCATCTTTACAGTACTATACAGAGTATTTTTACTGCCCCCCCCCAAATCCTGTGCTCTGCCTGTCTTTCAGATTTTGCTAGCATCTTACTGCATAAAGACTTCCTTCATTAAATGGGGAAAAGTGATAATAGCCCCTGGAGCTGCATTAGAAAGGAGCAAATTTGGTGACCCATTTCTGTGTCGACCCTGAGGAGCAGGGTGTCCATAGGGCATCAGTGAAGCTGGCCTCCTAGAATAAAAGAATAGAGTCAAAAAATTATCTACCAGAGTAGTTATCCTTTATTATTCTGTGCTTTGATTTGCTTGAAGCAGAGTGATCTTTTTTAGTATGGCTTATGGGACATTAGGAGCAGTTTCAGGGCCCACTTAGGAAGGCTGTATACTTCAAACAGGCTGTGGATGACATTACCTTGAGAGTTCTGCAGAATGGAACTCAAGTACAATAATACTGAAGACGGGAAGTCTGAATAAAATTAATTGCCATTATGATGAGCAAGGAGAAGAAATGAAAACTGTTTCTATCTTGAACATAGTTTAGAACATGTTTGAACATAGTTCTAGTTTTTAAACTCTATTAATTTATTTAATATATGTTGAATATATACCATGTATCTTGGTAAAAGTCATTACTGGGAACACACTGCATTGTTTTTAATATTTATTTTCAAAATACGGCGTTTTCTCATGAAACATTGTGGAATTGCCTTAGGCAGTGGATATGCTAAATGAAACTTTGACCTTTGAGGATGGCAAGAAGTTTAAGGAATCTAAACGTATTAAGGACCATGAAGATTATACAGACAAAGCATTTGAAAAACTCTGTCGCCCAGAAGCAGGTATGTGTCCCTTGAAATCTGTAGATGAGGCAGGTCGTTCAAGATTGTTTCATGCTCTATCCTCTCTCGTCTCCTGATACTCCACTGTCATGTGTCCCCCTGCCTCCCAGAGCTGGACGGGGACCCAGTTCTCTGCTCCCCCCTGTGCCCATGCCATGATGCCAGCACTCCCCGGCACCCAGCCTCCTTGCTTTCTCAACACTGTCTCCTTGAGCAGTTTCACCAGCTCCCTCGGCTTCAGCTTCTTGCAGCCACAAGCTCCACACCCAGCTGTTTTCTCATTATCTTCTATAAAGCAACATGGCCAAGACCCAAAGCATCTCAAACTTAGCACATGTACAATCCAACCTGCGAGTACCTCCTCCCACGTGATGCTTTATTTGGGCAACACATCACCAGGCTGACAGTTCCTGCCCAAGGTGGTTTCTGTTCTGGGATGTCTCTAGAGACTTCCTCCCCCTTCATTCCCTCTGCCACTAGGTTAGGGCTCTGTCATCTCTCAGCGATGCGGTGTGATAGGATATGCGTGGGCTTTGGAGACAGACTTGGCTTGAGTCCCACCTGGTGCTTCCGCTTTCTGGTTGTGTGACTTTCCACAATGGGCTAAAAATGCCCTGAATCTCAATTTCCTTTGAGGAACAACCAAGCAGGATTATTACGAGAACTAAGGTTAAATTTGATATAGAAAGTACTTGACCATATTAGATGTTTAATAAATGCTATTCTCTTCATTTTTTCTTTCCCTTTACCTCCCTGTGGCGCAATCTATGTTAGTATGAGGGTGGTGACTTCTCTGGTTGTGAATGGGCCAGTGATGGACTGCCTGTGAAGTTTCCTAAGAAACTGTTTAGTGTAGCTAGTCACACTTAAGTTATTTTTCTTACGTTATTTTCTTACAGAATTGTTCATTCAGGAGGCTGCAGCTGCAGAAAACAGAAGACAGTGGGAAGCCAGAGCTCCTCAGACTCTGCTGCGGATGATGGCAGAGTCTGAAGTCACTTCCACCTGCACCACCAAGCCTGAGGGTGAGTCCGCATCAAAACGGTCCTCAGCAAGGGCCGTCAATGCAGCTGTGTTGTATCACTTTTCAGGACTCTCTCTAGGGACTTGCTATCAAATATCAGGCATTGTTTTCATTTCTCCCCTACCTCCAGAGAAGGCCCACTAATTATCCCAGAAAACTGAGCACCCCAGCTATGGGAAAGTACAGGAGGAAAGATCCAGAATCCTTCTTTCCTCTAAGTGAGGGCAAAGGGTCCAAGGAAGGGCAGTCAACTTGATTTGCCTTCCCATGCTAGCACACTAACTTCCTGAAATTTCTTGAAGGATTTTTTTCCCCAATAAAATTGAAATTAAAATAACAGTTATCCC